TACTAATACTAATAATAATAATAATAATAATAATAAAAATAAAACTCAGACAATGAATGTCTATAAGCTATCTTTCTGGTCCGATAAGTACAAAACAAGGGTGCTTTGTAACGCGATATGCGCTCGGTGCCCTGCAGGGGAGTTAGTGTGCTCTCACCGTGGTAAACGCTCGAAGTGTCTCTCTCTCTCTCTCTTTATCTCTCGTAGTCCGCAGATACTAAAAAGTCAGACAGGGAGGGGGAGACGAAGAAGATGGTGGACTAGAAGAGGAAGAAGAAGAACACTCTCTCTCTGTTTCGAGCCAGGTACTAACCTGGCATGTTGGCGCGTGCTGCAGATACCTCGAAGACGAAGCTGGAGCAACGGCGCTACAAGTAAGTACCTCCGGCCTCCTCCCAATCTCTCTCTCTCTCTCTTTCTCTCTTAGACACACACACACCCACACACACACACATACACTCACGTAGTAGTGTAGTAATGTATATGTCTACGTTCTAGTGCTAGATTCATTTCGATTTTTCAGTGTAGATTTCCATGTTCTAGCGTTAGATTCATTCGTTTTTTCTCATCATATCGATGGTAGTAGCGCAAGGTTAGTCGCGGGGAAGAAGACTTACCTGTCTTCTTTCGTTGTCGTCGTCGTCGTTATCAGTCGTCGTCGTCGCCAATCGATGCCTTTCGACCGCGCTCCCTAGCGGCAAACCGTCGAGATCATCGCGATCCAGACACTTCGTCGGATCATTCAATCGGTAGGGGCGACGGCGGCGTGTGTACAAAGGGCAGGGGCGTAATCAGCACGAGGCATTTCAAGATCGGTGATTACAACAATCTACCCCCGTTGCGATGAAGACCCCTCTCCTCGTCTCCCTCTTTTTTTTTTTTTTCTTCTTCTTCCTTTCTACTTCTTCTCCCTACTTGCGCCACTTCTCCCGCTCGCGCCACTTCTCCCGCTCGCGCCACCTCTCCCGCTTGCACCACCTCTCCCGCTTACGCCACCTTTCCCGCTTACGCCACCTCTCCTGCTTGCGCCACCTCTCCTGCTTGCGCCACCTCCCCGTGCGGTCTTTCCACCTCGGCTCCGTTCGGAGTTTTCCCCCGTCTAGCCTCCGAGGTGGCGAGCTCCCTGGCTCGCGATCCGCTTTGCGGCGCCGTTCTCCCGAGGTCGTGAGCCAGTATCGAGCCGGCTAAGCTCGATGTCCCCGATCCGTGGCCAATGGACTTGCCCGATATTCGAGGCAAATTCATTACAGTAAGTTTTACTGGAGAAATTCGTACACGTAAAAAATAAATAAATAAATAAATAATAATAATAAAAAAAAAAACTCAAAATAAAGAAAAATAGGAAATCCAAAAAGAAAAAAGAAAAAAAAAAAAAAAAAACAGAATCTAATTTCTAATTACCCTATCGTGCCAAATGGCAGACCCTCGTTATAGCACGGGCTAAGGTCCAACTAACAACCTAACTGTAACTAATCCTAATACAGAGATCGCGGGTTCAAGCCCCGCCAGACTTCATGTGGGGTGAAAACGGGCAGCCCTAGTGCCGCTTCCTATGAAAAGGGAGCTAGCTCAGGATCGGTTGGACTTGATCCCCAAGTCTGTGGCATATCAGTCCAGACCCGTACCTACTGAGCTAGCTCCCATTTCTGGTAGAAAGGGAACAACTCTAGTATGTATAGAGTAATGTCTCCACGCATCTCAACGATACGAGCCTATTTCAGAGTCTGCGCATGCGCGCGGTTGTCTGTTCGCATGCCTGTTTTTAGCGCTTTGTCCGTTTGAGTGTGTGTGTGACCCGCAAGGGTACTTGCTTTGCTTGGGAGGCCCCGCAGGGCGGTAGTTACTTGTGGCCTTGACTTTGGGGTTTGTAGCGGGAAAACACTCAGGTAGTGGGTCGGCTGGTACTTGGCCGTGGCCGCGATATTGAGGGTCAAGGGGGGAAAGTTATAAGGCAGTGGGGTAAACCCGCATACTCAGAACAACGGGGAAAATACTCAAGTAGCAGGTAGGCTGGTACCATACCTAGTAAAGGCAGGCGTGCCGCGCAGTCAGGAAGTCACCGTTTCAAGAGGCAAACGCTTTGCCATATGCAGGAAGTCGGGCGAAGCCCTCTGTCCTACTCGTGGTATACCGCTTGAGCCAAGCTCTTAGAATTTCAGGGTGCTACCTCAACCTGACGATCACTCATTGTTAATCGCCCCACCCGTACGGTCCGGCCGTATATTAATTTTAACTTGGCTATCGTACATATGCTTAAGCCTCCGTCGCGGTGTAGGTTGTAGGTTTACCCGATATAACACTTAACCCAATCGACCCCTCGACCTCTTCGATCGAAGGGTATTATTACCGACTCTATCCATCAGAGCGCACGTCACAATAACGCGCGCTCATACCTATCGAAATTTTCTCACCGATTTGCCCCGGCCTCAATGGCCGAGGAAATAGTTTCAAGTGTCAGGCCAAAGTGTGCACACCCTTTTCACCCCAGACCGACTCTGTCACGGTAGCCGACGTCGTCACTGTGTCGAATGCAAAGCACAATCAAATACCCTTGTAAGGGTATTTGGTCCGACACCGCCTCTGCTACACACAAACTCCTGATGGGCCCCTTCCATAGCTGAGACCCCTGTCGCAATCGGTCCGAATCCAGGTGGTTGATTATCCTGGATTTCCTGTTCACGGCCCATACACATGACAAGCGGGGGGACGGGGGGACGGGGGGGGGGAGAACTTGGCATCCCCATTCCCATCGAACCCTCACGTCTGAAAACATAAGAGGGGAGAGGTTGAAGAGGTTGGGGATTAGCGCTCTGATTACCTAGATACACCAGCGGCTGAGGGTTCTAGGGCATAAATGGCGGTTGACCTCATTGCATGGGTCCGAGGATGCCCAATTATTGATGTTGTTGGAAGACGTCCGACAGTTGTTGTTGAAGTTTTTGGCCACCCACCGGATGAGGCAAAAAGGCTGGGTTAACTGCGTTGAAGTAAGGTTGGAAGCCAAAAGGAACTGACCGAGATCCGTTTTTTGAAACTCCTGATGGAGAACCTCCCCGCAGAGGTCCCGTCTGTCCTTGGTAAGGAGGTCTAATGCCTCTTGCCCTCCACCTTGGTTTGAAGCTTGTTGCCCCGAACATTTATTTTTTACACATGTGTCATCTATGTGGAAGAACGCCCAACATCTTTTGCAGCGTGACGTTTTTGAGGAAGCTAGTTTCACATCCAGTTCATCGCCCTCAAAAGTCTCCGGCCAAATTACACCCTTCATGTTGGGTCTTGTCGCCGGGTCAATATCGAATTTAATATTGATCAGGGAGGGTTTCAACCTATCTGACTCCGTGGGGTGACGTTTGATGATTGGGCCAATTCCTTTTTGGATCTGTGTTTCTAGGAAAAGCATCGCATCCAGCGGAACTTGGATAACGATCACGATCACCCAAAAGGTAAGGAAATTTATTTCTCGTCTCTGCTCCTTCAAGTGTGCCTTGGTCAACCAAGGCTTGAACTTGTATTTAGTAGAGCCAAATGTGAGTTCGTCGTGTCCTTTGTTTACCAACCATAGAGCGATAGCTCTATTTTTGGCAACATAGGATACAACTTTGGGGCTTTCCACCTTCACCCTGCCACACTTAAGGCCCCCTGTCTCGAAACTTCCTTCCTGCACCTTACTGTCTTCATATGCCCTGGTGATGTCGTCCTTTACCTTTTGAGGTAAAAATTGTGCCCCCTCGTGGAAGATAATGGTTATCGTGTGTTCTTTAAGCCACACCACTTTGGCCTGATCGATGACGATATTTACCTTGAATCTTGCTTTCCTTCCGTGAACTTTCATTTCCCCAGGATCCATATCCGGGGGAATGACCCCCTCTTCGTAGCACAATCCAATTAGCTCTATCACTCGTGCATCTTCGTTCTGCTGGCCCCCCCCATATGGCGCATGTGACCTCGCATTTCTTTCCATTACTACTTCCTCTGCCGTATCGCCCAGTTTCGTATTGGTAAATTAAAAAATTGATAACCCTTCCAACAAAAGCAATCCAGCTTAGCCCTTCTAGAGTTATGCAAAGGATAAAGAGATAACCGGAGTTAACACTAGATCTATGGTGGGAAACTCCCAGATGCCCGCTGTGGCTACGAACGACTCCCTCCCAACTGTATGGAGTCGGCTCTTCGACCAAGATGAATCAGCTGCATAGCCACACCTAGCGCTATCATAGCGGTAGCGACTCTGGTCAAGCACAACTCCGTTACCGTCCGAGCGCCGTAGCGCCGGTGGAAGCGCCCTGGTCGTTCGCCAAGGTATAGACATTGTTGGGTTCCTGTAGGGAAGATAAGTTGAATTTTGTGAACTCGTCAGCGAAACCGGCTGATGCTGCCGGGTTGAATTGTGAATTTTTTTTTTTCTTCTGAAATACGCCTGACGTCGGTTGGACCCAATATTTGCCATATACCCCTACCGGACACAGTCCAACGTTGCAAAATGCCCCCAGTACTTGCCAACTTCTCCTAGGCGCGCTATTGAAAAAGGCAAAAGGCCCAATCGCGGAGGTCCAGATTGCAAAGTTGCACACCATCCTGACAGGGGCACAACACAAAGATTTCGTCCCAAAAGGACATTCCGCTGTACACACATCTTTCAGGGGCATTTTCGCACATATATCAACTTATGAGGGTATTTTGTAAATTATCATCCCCCCCAAAAAAAGATAGAAAAAAAACAAATCCTGCCATACAAGGGTCCCCTACATCTCTCCTCCCCCCCCTCCCCCATCTCCCAGACCCCAATTTGTCCCGCCCGACCTTGACCTTCTCCCGTCTCTGTGTGCCGCGTAGTTGACGCTGGCCCTAACATCCCGCCAGCGGGCCGCAGACAGGTCGGGCGGACAAATCGGGGCTTGGGAAAGAAAAAAGTCCCAGTCGTTGTAGCCAAGCTGGCTATGGCCCACGTTGCCCCAGGTGCCAAGTTACCTCGGCAGTCTACGCTTCCGAACGGGCAGCGGCGGGCATCCGCCAAGCCCCCGCATCTGCGTTGCCGTTTGGTCCGACGGGCAGCGCCGCCGTCTGGTCTTTTTCAAGGGGCAGAGCGCCGCCTTCCAGTTTCCTTTGATGGGCAACCTGTGTCGAGAGTCAGCTGGGGTTGCAGCTGATCGAGCTGGCGTGTCATCATCGCAGCAGCGTGGCCGAATGAACGACTGTCAATCTCTCCAGCCGAAAAAGAACCCGTTGCTCTTCGCGTAGATTTTGTTCGTATTCATCTCTCTCTCTCTCTCTCTCTCTCTCTCTCTCTCTCTCTCTCTCTCTCTCTCTCACACACACACACAC